GCGCTCCCGCCGCACCGCGGCTCGTGCCAGAATGAAGATGGCTTCCTGTCCCGCCAGCGTCACGTCGGGGGCCGCCTTCACCCAGGCCTTCACTCGCGCCAGAGGCAGCCTCGAGAGCCGAGCCCCACGAGCCCCAGACGCATTTGTCGGGACTTGGGGCTGCGAAGTCGCTGCCTCTCCCCCCGGCTCCTCCTCCTCGCGGGGCGTCCCGCTTCCAGACGCCGCCACTGCCGCCGCCATGTCGGCTCTGGGCGTGCTGCGCGCGGCCGCTGACTGTGCGCGCGCATGCGGCGCCGGCCCCTTTCCCGCGCGCGGTAGAAGCCACGCCCTCTGCTGGCACGGGCCCCGCCCCTGCATGGCCGGAGCTGCAGGGGACCGAGGCAGGCGGAGGGCGGGCCTTGGTTCCCCCGCTGCACGTGTTTGTAATAGTTACTTTGCGGTCTCTCCCGGCGATGTACGGCCGAGTGCGCCGGTTTGAGCCCTGGCACCGCCCCTTCGTTGGGTTAATATGGTAGCTGTTCGGGCTGGTGCTGAGGAGCGCCCTCGTCTGGGGGAACGCAGATCCGCCCGCAAGTCTCAGTTCATGCCAAGTGTTACCCAGCGTCCAGATAAGCAAGTGTCTAACGGAGGACAGGCGTCCCCGAGGGCCCAGCATCGGGAAGTGGGAGCCGAGGAGGACCTGTTTTAGATGCTCTTGAAGAAGGGGTAGGATTTTGGAAGTCAGACATGGAAGAAGTTCAGTCCAGGCAGAGGAAACCGCGAGAAACCACGGATGATGGAAAGTGTGAAGTGGTAGCCACCTCGACCGGTCATATCAGAGCATTCAGGTGGTATCAGCATTCATTCTCAAACTTTGTTCTCAGGATCCCTTACACTGTTAATACGATCAAGGACCTCAAAGAGCTTTTATTTGTGTGAGTTATAGCAATATTTAATTACATTAGAATTAAAACAGTTTTGGAGCCAGCAGGTGGTGCAGTGGGGTGCTGGACTCCCACGTGGTCTGATACCCCTGGAGTCCTGGGCCCAGGTGCTTGAAACTCACCCGGGCACCTGTGCGTTCATGTCCAAGTATCCCGAGAGGAGAATGAAGGGAAAGAAGTGGCCATTCCCGCTGGGGTGGCGGTGATTTCTAGCTTTCTGTTTCTCTGTTTCTGTCTCTCCGGTCTGCACACATACACTGTAGCAAAAATTTCAACAACGACAAAAAAAAAAAAGTAAAAATAATTAAAACACAGTTTTGAAATATTGATTTAAAATAAATATATCGTGGGACCAGCGGATGTCATAGTGGCTAAGGTACTGGACTCCCACAGGACTGACCTTGGGATCCTGTGGCTTGAAAAAATCACATCCAGCATGTGCAGTGCCTCAAAATCCCAAGAGGAGAATGGAGGATCAGGGATTGCTGCAGGGCCATCCCCCTAACCCACCCTGGGATCATATCTCACTTTTCCTCTCTGTTTCTGTCTCCAACAAGCACACACACACACCCCATGGCAAAAAATCTTTTAAAATAAATAAAATCACAAATGTACATTCACATTTTTATGAAAAGTAACTTTTCAAAAATAAAAAAAAAGTTACTAGGAAAAATGTTCTGTCTGGCTTACTAGAAAACAAATGGATTCTCTTTCTGCATCACTTTTCACATAGGTTTGAAAAACCACTGCATCTCCTTGAGAGAATGGAATTTAAAAAGGCAACCTCCTCATAATTAAAATACTTTTGATCCCAGTGACCCCTAAGAAGAGTCTCACCACCATCCCCAGGTCTCCCAACCACACTGATATCTGCTGTCCTAGAGGACCAATTAATAGTAGTCACAATAACAGAATTAATCCAAGTGGTTTGTAAGAATAATTGCTCACATTTTTTGAACATGTGGTTCAAAGTGCTTTATATTTATGTAAATCACATTATGTAATTTTCATAGTATTCTACTGAAGTAGGTAATTACAGTTTATTTCTTCCATGAAGGGGGACGGGGGCGGGCACCTCTAGCCTTAGCTGTGACAATCTTGGACACCTGAAGTGTTTGCAGGAGGCATGTCCAGGAAAATCTCAGGACATGACCTTCCCACTTCCCATGTAGGACCCACACTGCAGAGTCACCTTACTGCTGTACCTGACTGGCCTTGTTCAGTAAAACAAAGCACAGTGTGGTTAATAGCTCACCCACAGCAAAATGTGATGAAGCCAAGATTGAATTGAATGGGGTATGAGTCACTGAACAGTTCATCAGAGCCTCCTTCAGGGTCTCAATTCTGAGTCCTCTCACATTACATTTGTGGACATTCTTGCATAGGGAAAGCACCTCACAAAATTCATACATGCATAGCCAGATTCTAGTGTCACATCGCAGTAGAACACCTTACAGGAGTAACATCCCAGCAGTCTCAAAGTAGTTGAGTACCAATGCCGGCCTAATCTCCAATTTAACACGATAAAAGTTGACCATGGTGGGAGCAAGATCACTTGACTGTTTTACCACTTGGCCCAGCCCCGCCCTTTTTTCCTGGGTTTTGGTATGACCAACTGAAAGAGGCTTACTTAGACCAGGCAGGGCTTCTGGACTTTGGGTATTGAAATGCACTAAGATGTGCTAGAAAGGAGAATTGTGCTTCACCGTCTTTGAATTTCAGTGGCAAAAAGGAAGAAGCAGCAGGAAGACAAAGGTCAAGAGAGCTACTCCACCCAAAAAGGGTTTACATACTAGTCCAAAGACAAGAAGGCTAGAAATATCTTTGAAAGGCTATAAGGAAAAAACGAGCACACACATAAAAAGTGCCATGTGAAGCACTTTATGTAATGAACTGGTGGTTACAGACAGCTTGCCATCTACCCTACTGGAGTAAGAGTTCTACCCAGGAAACCAGTAACACTCCATTTCTCCTTTTCTGCATTTATAAAAAAAATAAATGTAGGACCAGCAGATGGTGTAATGGTTACGTCGCTAGACTCCCACGTAATCGACTACAGTTCTAGTCCTGGACCCAGTGTGTGTGTGTGTGTGTGTGTGTGTGTGTGTATGTGCCCAAAATTCCGAGACTGAAGGAGAAGGGATTGCAGTGTGGCCTGCACCCCTGGAAGTGATTTCTCACTTTCTGTCTCTACAGCAAGTGCACACACACACTATAGCAAAAATGTCTCTAAATAAATAATTTAAAAATAAGTGGGGACCAGCAGATGACATAATGATTACATCATTAGACTTCCACATAGTTGACCACAGTTCAAGTCCCAGACCTGGTGGCTTAAACCTCACTCTAGACACATGTGCATGCATGCCCAAGATCCTGAGAGGAGAATGGAGGAGAAGGGATTGTATCATGGCCATCCCCCTGGGGGGGGGTGATTTCTTGTTTTCTGTCTCGCTGCCTCTCTCTGTCAATCCAAACAGCACATGCACCCTATGGCTTTTGCTGATTATGACCGTTCACACTGAGTTGGATTTGGGTTTGCTTACATAGAGGCAAGACACTGGAGCCTGATAGCGTTCCAATTACTTACTTTAACAGCACATTATTATATATATGTATTTGTGCATATTTGTGTGTTTATGTTTTAATGCACACACACATTTGGTGGATCAATGATTAAACAAATAGGAGAAATAGAGGACACACTTGAGTAACAAAAAAAAATGCACAGAACTGTTCAGAAGGGAAAAATAAAGAGAAAGAATAAAGTATAATGAGCTTAGCTATAGAAGCCTTGGGGCACAGGAATTGCTTAATCACATAAAAGTCAACTCATCAGAAGTGGAAAACATACTGAAAAAAAGAAACAGGAAAAATAAAAGATACAAAGGAAAGTTTATTCTTAATCAATTCAGTATTTAAGCAGTGGTTTCCAACCTTTTTCCCCTGCAAGTTTGATTGAAATGATAGAGACTTGATGTAACTATAGCTGGGCGTATTCCAACCCCTCCAGCTCCACTTCATACCACCTCCTTATCCTTTCTGATCATTGGTCACAGATTTTGTCTTTATTTCCTCTGCAATTCTTCCAGGAAAGCTTTTCTCACCTTCCTTCAAATACCAACTTCACTTTCTTAAAAAAGTCTTCCCCTTCCATCCTACTCTTCTACAGGTTAGGTTGAATTAGTCATACCACCAAGTACCTATCCATCTTAGAAATGAATGTGGATTACTCTTTCTTTTTTTTTTTTTTTTTTGCTATAGGGCGCGTCCGCTCACCAGAAAGACAGAGAGACAGAGAGACAGAAAGTGAGAAATCATCCCACGAGGGGATGGCCATGTCTCAATCCCTTCTCTTCCATTCTCTTCCTGGGATCTTGGGCACACACACACATGGGCCTGGTATGAGTTTAAGCCACTGGGTCCGGGACTCGAACTGCAGTCAACTACATGAGAGTTCAACGACATAGCCATTGTGCTAACTGCTGGTCTCTTGATTGCAGATTATAATCCTACATTAACCTATGTGATTATTTGATCAATGTTTGTCTCCTCCCCTTTTCACTTTCCCCCAATTATAAGCTCCATTAGGGCCACGTGCCTGTCAGAGTCCATTCATTGAGTCTCTAGTCTATGAAGCAGTGCCTTATACTTACTAGATGCTCAGTAGATATTTACTTACTTAATAACGGCTCACCCAGAATTAACATCTAGGAAGGCATGTCAGCACCTGGAGAAAGAAGTATTATTTGAAAATGCCCACCAAGGGTTTTTAGTAATTCCTAGAATGGGTTCCCTTCAACCTTTGGAAAAATTAATTTCATGCTTGCATACTTTTTGTTTTACTTGATGGAGAGGAAAGTTAAAAGTATGGAAAAAGTTAAAATCTTTAATAACTTAAAAAGAAAAGCTGAAAATAATGGCATCTTTCATCATTTCCTCTCATTCATTTAGTCTCAACTGATAGAGTTGTGTTTTTCAGGAAATCAGTACCTAACTTGCCCTTCCTGAAACAGTTTATACGCCACCCACAGTAGCAATCAAGAAGACCCAAATGCTATCCCAAACAATCTCCAATAGATTCCTTTCTATTTTTAGCTCAGTGGTTCAGAGAACTGGGTGTTCTTTTCTTTTTAATTTGCTTGAGGGCATGTGCTGTCTCTGGAGAGAGACAAGAGAGCACGCTCTCCCATGATACCTGTCTGTGTATATTTGCCTTGTCCTTCATCCTTCCCAGATAAACCTTGGGCAAGACCTAGTTCTGCAAGTCATACGTATGTTTAAACAACCGACCTACAAAAAAAAAAAATAAACAGGGAGATGTGAGGAAGGGATGCTAGCCTCCCATTAGCACTGTTGTCA